TATGTTTTTTCTTTTCTTTTCTTACCCCAAATTGTTTTTAGGCGATACCCGAAATTGTTGTAAACGTTTCGGATTAGGCCAGGCCGCCACGGCGCCGCCCTCCCCCTTCCCCGCCACCTTTGCTGCTGGCCAGCTCGACCTCCGCGCGACCGCACCGTCCAGGGCACCTCTCCCCCCTCGGTGTCGGCGGTGGGAGCAAGCCTGAGCTGCCTCCGCCGTTCCGCGCATCAACGCTGGGTCGAGCTCCCTGCTCGCACTGCTCAGCTGCTCCTCTTCCTCTCCGATTTGATCGGGTAACCTCTAATTTTAGCTCCCGGGTCCTAAACCCAAACGTACTAGGTTATGGGTCCGAATCGATCGGGTTACCTCTATTTTGATAAGCGCTAAATAGTTGATATAGAACAACGCCGCACGTTGACGGGGCCAGGTTTAACGAGCACCGCCCACTTGCTCTACCCTACACAGCCATACAGGAGAAAACAACAAATTGATCGCCTCGGCGGGATAGAGATGGCAACTGGCACACGCAACCGGAAGGGCGACTCGGGTGACCACCGCTCCCCACGCCGGAGTGATCGGAGGGGGCCTGTCGACGACGAGCGGCAAACGGAGGACGAGAGAGAGGCGTGGCCTACTCTCTACATCCCCAATCTCTTCGCGGCGGGGCTGCTCTGCTATCACCAGGGAACGGAGGTGATCCAGAGGGAGATTGGCCAGGTTCTCCTCCTCGACGCGGAGAACAGGTTGATCGACAGCCGAGGACTACGAGCCAAAGAGGTAATTGCATGGCGGTCAAGGATTTGGTTTCCGTGCCATTTGGCTTGTGTGGGGAATTCGCTCGATTGGGGGAGGGGAGGCGACGGGGAGGATTCCGAGGCGAACTACCGTCATGAATGCATGCGGAGTGTGGGCAATAAATCCCCACTGCCCGGTGGCTGGGAGACGCAACGCACCCAAAATTCCCCCCACTCCCACCACAGCGAGCGAACCCCTACTCTGGAGAGCAGAGGCGATGGCGGATTGGAGGATGAAGATGGAGAGGGCCATGGTAGAGCTGGCGGGCAGCGACGAGGCGAAGCTGGCGAGGGCTCAGGAGGTGGTGTCCTAGTTCGCCACGAGGAGAGAGATGCGGCATGCAGCGAAGAAGGTCTTCAGGACTTTGACTGTGGAGGAAGACGAGAGGCTCGCTCCCAACGGATTCACAACTCCGACGGGTACCCCAGTGAGCTCTCTGGCTGCGTTGGTTTGGGCCATGGAGGAAACTGAGTCGGGAGATCCATCTCAGAGGGCGAAGTGGTGGGGGTTCAGATCCCGCCGCCGCTACCCTGCGGGACCAGAGGAGTTCGTGGTCGGGGCGGTGATGGCGATCCCCACCCCGGGAACTCGCTGGGTTCCGATCCCGATCGTGGACAGCGAGGAGGAGCCAGAATCGGAGATGGAGGAGCCGGAGGAGATGCCAGATCTGGGCGAGAGCAGCAGCGGAGAGAAGAAGAAGTAGAAGGTGGTGGTGCCAAGGCATTCTCCTCGCTTCCTGCGCCGCTCACCTCGCCTCCTCAGCCTCCCCAAATTCCCAGCGAAGTAGGCGTATCCCCCGCCGGCAATCGATTTTGGTTGCTGGCTGGGGACGACGAGGGCGAGGGGACGGGGGACTCGCCAGAGGACTTGGGTAAGCATCATGTTCTCAATACAGCCTATAAATATTTGTTCAATGAGGATTTTGATCATAATCCTAAGAATAAATCTCAACGCAAAAATCCTAGGAAGAAAAAGATGGAAAATCATGTCAAAATAATAGCCCCAGCAAAACTAATTTGCGAGGAGGCGAAATGTGAGGGTGATGAAGATAGAATTAAAAGAAGCTATCTAGATGGATGGTTTGTTAAAAATCTCATGGAAAAAATCTCAAAAATACCTGACGTTTGGTTAGAAATTGGGCATGATGAATTCATTGCATATGGGGTTGAATGGGCATGATGAATTCATTGCATATGCGCAAAGTTCGCAACAGAAAGGGCCACTTAACCTTATCGTAGGCTTTTTCAAAATCTATTTTAAGAATGACATCATTCAACTTTTTTCGGTGAAGCTCATGTATAGTTTCGTGCAAGACGATCACTCCATCTAATATGTTGCGGCCCTGCATAAATGCTGTTTGAGTGGGTTTTACGACATGGTCAAGCCCCCGTTCAACCGATTAGTTGCGACCTTCGTAAAGATTTTAAAACTTACATTCAGAAAGCAAATCGGACGATATTGTTGAATACGACTAGCCTCCTTCATCTTAGGCAATAGGATAATTTCCCCAAAGTTTAAACGAGAAATGTCAAGGTCTTCAGCATGCAGTTGGTTAAACAACTGAACAATGTCTGCCTTAATGACGTCCCAAAAACATTGATAGAACTCTGCGGGAAAGCCATCCGGACCCGGAGCCTTGTTGTGTTCCATTTGAAACACCGCGGTTCGAATTTCCTCCTCAGAGAACGGGGAGGTTAGGAATTCATTTTCCGCTTCCGTAACTTGAGGAATGTCATGAGTAATGGATTCATCCAGCTGAAAATTTGATTCAGCTGAAAGTCCAAAAAGCTCTTTCTAATACTTAGTAATAAAAGTTCTAAGTGGTATATCCCCCTCAATTCGGCCTTCCTCCTGGTCAAGGGCGAATATGCGTTTCTTTCTATGTCTGCCATTGGCAAGCATTTGAAAGTATTTCGTATTATCATCACCTTGCGCGAATCCGCCTTGCAACGTTGGTACCATTTAATCTCTTCCTCGCGTAGTAGGCGGGCTATCTGCTCGTTTAGATTGCTTTTTTGCTCAATCTCAACTGCAGACAGAGGCCTCACCTCCGCTATTTTATCAAGGGAATGAATTAAGGTAGATAGTCGCAGTTTTTCTTTTTTGTAGATGCCAGCAGTATGCTTGGCCCATCCACGAAGGAATCGACGCAATGCGCGAATTCGATTATTCCATCGTTGAATGGGTGTGTACACTACTACAAAAAGGGCTATAGATAGAATGGCCACTAATGGCGCACCTGTGATGTGGTGCGCCATTACTATATTCTAATGGCGCATCATGTCTCGGTGCGCCATTAGTAATATATTACTAATGGCGCACCTGGTGTGTGGTGCGCCATTAGTAGTTTTGAAAAAAAAACATAATTTTTTTTTGTTACTAATGGCGCACCGTTGCATAGTGCGCCATTACTAATTGACATAGTAATGGCGCACCACATCCGTCGTGCGTCATTAGTAGTTTTGAAAAAAAAAGTAAAAAAAAAGAAAAAAAAATTGTTACTAATGGCGCACCATGTCTCGGTGCGCTATTACTAGTTTTAACTAGTAATGGCGCACTTTTCACTGATACGCCATTACTAAGTTTTTTTCAAAAAAAATCAAGAAAAATATCAATTTTTTTTATTTTTTTTTCAAAACTAGTAATGGCGCACCGTGGGTGGCGCACCATCCCACGGTGCGCCATTACTAACTTGCCCCAACACCGCATGCACCCCCCCTTGGATCGCCTTTTCAGTTTTAAAAAAAATAAAAGAAAATGATGGAAATGTCAAAAAAATAAAAGATAATATGTTTCCCATGTGATATGTGGTCTAGTTGTTGGGAAAATTTACAAATATGAATTTCGACTTTATTTGCAAAATCTCTCTGGAAATTTGTAAAATGGGCATAACTTTTGCATACGAACTCGGATGAAAAAGTTTTTTATATGAAAAATCATCTACTCGAAAAGTTACATCCAAATTTACGGGGCTTTCAAGATCTAGCGGCAAAAAAATTCAAAATCTCCAAACTTAGTAGTGGCGCACCGTGGATGTGGTGCGCCACTAGTAACAGAAAAAAAATTGGTTTTGAATTTTTTTTCAAAAAATGATACGTAAAAGTCAACAGTCAACAACCTGAGCAGTGGTCCATGCTGGTGGTGAGGGCCAAGTGGTCGTGGGGATCGAGCGATCGAGGCAATTGAAAGAATGCTCGTGTATATGGGCCAGCCCACGAGGGGCGTGCGTGGGCTCTGCTACCCTTTACGGGCGCAGAGGGTGCCGAAGAGGAGGTCTCCCAGCACTCAAAAAAAGAAAAAAAGAAAAAAAAAGAGGAGGTCTCCCTGCCTGAGCTGCCTCGCCACGCCGCGGAGGGACGCCGAGTCAAGCTCGCTGCTCGCCTGCTCATCTGCTTCGGTGCTCCTGTTCCTCTCGGAATGGACTTGGTAACTTCTAATCTATCTAGCTCAAAAAATGCATGTGCTGGACTGAACCTGAACCTGAACCGATGCATTTTGCTATCAGTCCATTCCCATTTCATGCTATACTAGTAACAGAACATGACAGAGACGCTTCTCGTGGACAAATGAACCAAACCCATTGAAGAATATTTGGCTATGTTCTGCAGCATACACATAGTGCCTGGCTCTGAGTATGACTGCATTTTTTTTTTTTGAGACAAAGAGTATGACTGCAGCTATGACACTGTCATATCCCCCTGCAAACTGATCAAATGTAATGCCTGAAACAGGCCGTGCATTTTTCCACTTGCCAAATCTACCGTCATTGCCCTCGGAAATTCAGGACATGCCAGACTACTCAATGTATTCCTAATCCCTGGTGCTAGACAAAACAAATTTCTCACGGACCAATCGACACTGTAATATCTACTGTAACAGAGAGTCCCGGAAAATTTTGAACTGTACTCATGGGAGAAGGAAAGGCGGAGATCATATATACACACACCAGGTGAGACAATTGCTAATGTCAATTTAAAATGTATCGTCAGATTTACAGACAGGGGGGTGCCGACTATTTTAACTTGAGGAACAATGAGCAGCAGGTGTCCAACATAATATAACACATTCAGAGAAAGTCGGACGACGTCATCCTTGACATCCTTCTGCTGCACACTTTCTCACACGGTGGACTGGTATTTCTCTTCATGGAATATTAGCAGTACAACAAAATTTTGTAGAACCCCAACACAAGCATAGACTGCAACTCACTCGTAACATACAGGCGAACAAAAACAGTGTCTCCTATTCCTTGATTCTCGTTTGATTGCAGAGACTTCTGTGTAGACGTCTGGCATTGTCGGTCGATCTTTTGGTGTCTCTGTGTAGCATGAGAGACCAAGCTGAACAAGCTGCATAATGCAGCTCAGCATCCCCACCATTGCATGGTTTCCATGGTCCACGCCTTCGTCTCTGGAGCTCGGGATTATGATGTTAGGATCAAGTATATCACGGATCTTTTCGGGGAATGCATTTCCCATAAATTTCTGAAGGGTCGGGCCATTCTTGAACAACACATCTGTTGGGCGTTTCCCCGTGAGCATTTCTAGGATGATAATTCCATAGCTATAGACATCGCCCGCTGTTGAGATCTTGTTCCCGATGCCATACTCTGCATTGTTCAACATTCAGTTATCTCAGAATATTGATTCTTGAAAACCATAAAAGGTTCCTTTTGAAGATAAGCTTTTTCCTTTGAAGAAAGGAAAAGTAAAACTTGAATCATATTAGGGAGTAAAGATAATAGTAATATAGTAAATGTTTACCTGGTGCAATGTATCCAGTTGATCCTCTTGGTCCTGCAAAGCTCGTAGAAGTAATAGTACTTGAAGAGTTCTGACTTTGAAGGAACTTAGCTAACCCAAAGTCACTGAGACGGGCACCCATGCCATCATCTAGTAGCACATTGCTAGGCTTCAAATCATAATGGACTACAGGGGGCCACACAGCTGTTATGCAAATATCCAATGCAGCAGCTATGTCCTGCTATTGTTACTCTAAATCTGCCAATCAATGTGAAGATCGACGTCTACAGCTATTGTATGGTGCTTCTAAAGCTGGTGGCTGGGAGTTGTACAAGGGATGACAAAGTTATCAAACTGAAACATTTTTGTCCAGGATGTAAAGAACCTTAGCTACTGGAGATGCTAGGAGTATAATGGATGCTAAGCTTCTTAGACAGTTCCATACCAAGCAGGTGATAATCATGATGAAAAATGCTGTATCGGACTTAACCCTCTGTTGGCCTTTAACTTGATAAACCAATTCATGCTTTTAGGTTCTTTTCCACATCGACCATGTTCCATCATTTTCAGAGTTCTTTCAATCAACACCTTACTAATAGTCTATAATAGTTTCTCAAACGATATGTCCAGTTTTTATTCCAAAAAAGAGAGAAAGAAAATTGCCTTCGACAAAGGAAAGCAGAAAGCAACAGAGTGCCTGACTCTGACTGCACTCCACTCCTAGTTTATCTCCTGAATGTGAAGTTCTGAACTAATTTACCTAATTCAGCTTCGACACATTGACACTGCCACATGCCTGTTAAGCCACAAGCAACACCAATGTATCATGCCTTCAACCTGATAAAATCTTATGCCTGTAACAGCTACATGTTCCATTGCCCTCAGAAATTCAGAACGTGCCAGATTAATGAATATATTACTATACCTGATGCTAGACAGAACAGATCTCTCACAAAACAATTCACACTGCATGTAGGATAGCAAAAATGCTTAAACATTAAACTGTAATATTTGGAGAAGGAAAGGCAGAGAACATATATACATACCGATAGTGATGTCGCACGTTGCAACTGCCCGCCAAAGAACTCACTGTCAATGTACAACTTCAGGAAGGCGGGCCAGCTGGAGTACATCTTGAGCCCCTGGTGGAGCGCCTCGTTGACGAGCATCTCATCCAGCGACCACAGGATCTGCACAGTGCTGTGGGAGAAGCCGCACCGTGGGAAACCGATCAGACACGTTGAGCGCTGCTTCAGCAAAACGTCAATGCAGCCCACATGGAAATTGTGCCGTAAGAAAGAATGCAGAGCACAACATTCTGAAAAAAGAATGCAGAGCACGCCTTGCTCTCCGTACTCCATGAGACACCTGCAGATGAGGACACCGGCAAATTAGAATATAGCGTTTGTGTAATTAGAGAACAACTGCTAATGCCAATTCAGAATCATTCTCGATAAAAAAAATGACAATTCAGAATGTATCATCAGACATAACAACAGGGTGCCACTGTTCTAACTTTAGGAACAACTAGCAGCAGGTGTCCAACATACTTACTCTTGTATAATATAACACATTCAGAATAAATCATACAATGTCACTACAAGTCTACAATTACCAAAAAGATAATTGACATCCTTATGCCGCAGACTGAGAACACTTTTTCTTCCGCAGTTTAGCACTCAGTGGATTTGCATTTTTCTTGATGAAGTATCAGCAGTGCAACAAAATGTAAAGGGCACGCATACCCTGTAACTTGATAGAGGAATGCAGTTCACTTAGCATGTAGCATGTGGTGCTTAGTGACAAAAGGTGACCCCTGCAATTAGGATTCGGTACCATTCAGTGGTTTGTCGAACAAACAAATTTATTCCTCCTTACAAGTCATCCTCAGTGACCACTATTTTTCCTTGGAGTAGCCCAAAACTGATTCTGCAATTTCAAGAGAGCCAGTAAGATCTGGTGCCACTAGAATATGGGACATTAGTAACTATACTATTTTCTTCTAATAAAAGCACATGATGAATCTGATAACTGGTCATGTATTTCCGTACATATATATTTAAAGAAGCAAGGTATCACGGAATTGTGAAAAATCTGGCCACATCATATATAAAGACTGATCAGTAACAAACCTTGAGCTGCAGATGTAACAAATTAATGCCAAGGACATCATAACCGCTGGCTTCATTTCCTTGAAGTAGAAATGCTACAAGACTAACTTCCAAGAACAGCATTCCTGAATCAGTAAACATTGAAAGAACATCAATTCCAGGAAAATGATCTATCAATAAATTCCATTCAAGCAATAAATTAACTGTCATACAGGGGTAAGAGATACAGAAAATATACTACAGTGTAACACATGAGCTACATTACTGATGACAGTGTAGGTTAAAATTCACATGCATAAGAGCAGGGGTTGCTCGTTCAGTTGTCCCTTAGATCGATAGCATTACTCAACACATACACATGAGATCTCGATCTAATTACTAGGCCAATTAGTGTGTACTCAAACAATCTGAATCCAATACCAGGTTATTGTGTCGTTGTTCACAGTTCTGCTAATAACTAGAGTAATTACCAGCTTCGATCAAAGCTCGACACACACACATTCAGTTGGAAAACTGAAACACCAAAAGGCAAAACGTATGCACTCAAAACGAAGCTATCTGATGACAAGTCAACCTAACTTGTGTCCATTTATTCTACTTCCCATTCAAACATTAACAAGCATACAAAGGTTGCAGTGTTTATTAAGACTTAGGGCCTGCTTGGATTGGGGAAATTTTTGTGTGTGCTCCACAGTACTTAGCTCAGTTCAGACGAAAATTACACTCAATCCAAGCAGAGCCAGACATGAAATTTATCTCGACGAACAGATCCTCGTATGCCAGGAAGAAGAGTGCATACATGGAACGCATGGACAAACAACATGACAAGAACTTATTGACCCAGAAACAAGAAACATATTCACAATACATTGGCAGATCACCGTGACATACAGACTCGCATTCACTAGCACAACATATCTTCCGGAGTATCAAGAAACAGAACCTATCTACTGAAGATGTACCCATAAATAACCAAGCAGATAACCACTGACAGCACCAAAATTTCTGGACAGAATACAAATGAACCGTGGATTGACCAGACCAATCGACTATCCCTGCAGTAGGTAATATCAGAGCTTACATGGGATGAACCCACCCACCGAGATGACAAGGAGGAGGAGCACGTAAGCGTAGGGAAGGAGGTACCAGGCGAAGACGCAGAGGCGGCCATCACGGCCGTGGCCGGGCAGGCAGAAGGCAGTGGCCAGCTCCACCGGCACTGCGACAAAGAGAACAAAGGCAAGGATGGCATAGTATGCTGCCTTGTAGTGGGCGAAGACAGGTCCGGCGGCCGGCAGGTGGAGCACGGTGGTGAGGGCCAGGACAAGGGTGAGGGAGCCCAGCCCCCATAGTGCGCGCCCCAGCTGTGGTACCGCCGGTGGCGAGGCAGAGGGTAGCATGGAGTGCAGTATGTTGATTATGGTGGATTGATCGATCTCCATGGTGGGTTGACCCATCTCCAGGTCGGGCATAGCGTTGTCCCCGATGCCGTTGCCTTGGTGTTGGGGCAACACGGTCCCCATGGAGGGAGTGATCTTGAGTCTGATTGAGTCGCCGTGTGTGGGGATATATGGAGATCTGAGGCAGGAAGAAATAGTAGGGGAACTCCATGTCAGCAGCAGCAGCCAAGAAAAGCTTAAGAAGAACACACATTTGATAAGTTTCGTGTGCAATTAAAATAGATACAGAAACAATGATACATACTGCTTGAATTGAAGTCTAGTCTAAGTCTCCTGGGCTAAGTTGTGCTCTAATCTCTAAATTCACAAGAAAGGCCGTTTGTACAACGTTTTTACAGATCTAAGAAGTGTGCTCTGATCTCTAGATTCGCTTCTGAAACAGTAAGAAAGGTCGATTGTACTATGTTTTTATACAGATCTAAGAGGCCAATGCGATGGAAAGAAATGATCCGGACACAACATTCCAACACACTGCCACATAAGACAAACTGCACAGATCCGTCCATATGCCTATTTTTCCCCAATTC